GGGTTCGAGCCCTGGTCCCAGAAGATCCCCCACGTGCTGCGGAGCAACTAAGCCTGCGAGCCACAACTACTGAGCCCGCGTGCTGCAACTACTGAAGCCGCACGCCTAGAGCCCGTGCTCTGCAACAAGAGAAGCCACCGCAATGAGAAGCCCGGGCACCGCAACGAAGAGTAGCCCCCGCTGGCCGCAGCTAGAGAAAGCCCGCACGCAGCAACGAAGACCCAACGCAGCTAAAAAAAAAACCAAAACAAAACAATTGAACGCTTAACTTGTCCCATGTGCTTAGTCAAGATATACGTCTTAATACACACACACTTTCTTCTCAGGTTATCTACCTTTCTTGTTCTGAAGATATGGAAGCTGAGGCTCAAAGATTGTAAGTACAGTAAATCCCCTAATACGAACCTTCAAGTTGAGAAGGTTAATCTAAAAATCACAAGCCTGGGAATTCCCTGGTGGTCCAGTGGTTAGGACCCCACGCTCTCACTGCCAAGGGTGCTGGTTCAATCCCTGGATGGGCAACTATGATCCCACAAGCCACATGGCATGGCCAACAAAAACCAAACAAAAAACCACAAGCCTTAAGTGACAGAGTCTTACCCTCCATCCCTGGTGAGAACAGGCCTATGGCTCTACTATCCCTAACTGGTCCTAACTTTTTGAATGACTGATTTAGAGAATTCTGGCTCATTCAGAATCTAAGTGCAACATGAAAGTTCATTCTTCAGCTTCCCATCGAATTCCAAATGTGTCTAATTTTAGATAACAACCCCTCTGCCTAGAATGGAAACCAACATCACAACAAACTAAGTGGTTCCTACACAGTCCCTATTTACAGGTTTAACAATTTGATTTCTGAATGATAGCTTAGTTATTATGCATAAAATACAGTCTTGGAAAAATAGCAATTACAGGGTTTTTTCCAAACAAATTAGATACAAAATTAACATGTTAACTTATAGAAAATAGATCCATGAATATTTATTAATAGAATTCAATGACACGTCTCACTAAATCCTAGAATAATCTATCCTAACAAATGCTCATTAATGAATTAGTCAAAGAAAGTGGCATTAAAGTGCACCAAACTTTCACTATGGTGTACTGCTCAATTTTAACTAAGGAAAATATTGCTTCCACCTTTTTCCTCTTCAAAGGGCACACAACTTTGATGTGCCCCAAGGCTCACACACTGCCTGGGTGATCTGACCAAGTTTCCCAGCTCTAGATCCATCTTTGTGCCAATTACCCCCACAATGGTACAGCCATCCTGGGCCTCTCTTCTGAACTTTAGGCTTTAAAGGTAGCAGAATATGGTACCCCGAAATATGCCCCTTTAGCATAAGAATTATTTTGAGTTAATTATTTTTGAGGAACTGCAGACACAGGTGAAGCCCTGGAAACAGAGTAGAAGTTACCCCTTTGTAAGAGAAATTTACATTTATAAAGGAACTCTCCATTTGTAAGTGTCTTCCTCTCCTACCAGGAAGATGGTTCTAACTCACAAAAGAATCTTATTAAAGGAGAAGACACCCCTTTAAATCTGCATAACAGACCTTACCCTTTTTTGCTGGACTTCTTGGTAACCTCCCATAACTGGCCTCCCTCCACCCTCCATCTTTCTTTTGTATTCAGCTGAAGATGGTATTTAAAGCCGTGGCTTGGGCCATCTTGGAGTTTTACTCATTTTTCCTGGATAACTCCTAGGTATACATGAGACATGCATGTTAATAAACTTGTTTGTTTTTCCTCTTGTTAATCTTTTATAACCGGGGCTGTCTCAGCCAAGAACTCAGAAAAGTACAGGGTAAATTACTGTCCCTTCTCTAAACACTCACATAACCAACTACCAACTTAACAGCCCAGATGGATGGCTAAGAGTTACATCTGAGATATTATGTCCAAAAGTAAGCTTATGATATTCCCCCCAAGGCTATTCGTGTCCTAGTTTTCTCCATCCCAGTCCATGGCAACTCCATCCTTCCAGTTAGCCAGCTCCCACTCTGTGCCTATCAGTCCTACCTTCAACATAGATCTAGAACCTGACGAGTCTCACCACCTCCAACTCCTGCTACCACCACGGTCATTTTTCACCAAGCATATTGTCCTAGTCCCTTAACTGGTTTCTCTGTTTCTACCCCTGTCCTCACTATAGTCTCATATCAAAGCAATTGCCAGGATAATTCTGTTGAAAGATAAACCAGATTATGTCATTCCTCTCCTCCAATCCCCTCATGTCTTCCCATCTGTGACAGTGTGATTTATAATAAACATATATATATTTTGGTCTTCATCCGTGCTTCCTGCCTCACAGCAGCCCAAATCCTTGGAATTTCCTAAGCGACAAGCACCATGAGAGAACCTTTTGTTATACTGATAATATTTGGTCTTCTGTCCTCAGTTTCTGAAATAGTGGAAAAAGGTGAACGGGGTGTCTTTGGCTATTCGTGAGAAGCCCCTTTCAACCACACCTGATTTTATGGGAATGAGGTGACTTTTGAAAAGCCCCTAAGGATGGGGGGGTTGCCAGGGGAACCAACAATGATGAGAGGGTTAGAACTTTCCATCCCAACCCCCAATTCCTCTGGAGAGGGCTGGAGGTTGAATCAATCACAAAAAGTCAATGATTGCACCAATTCTGCCTATGCAGTGAAGCCTTCATAAACATCCCTGAATTACAGGGTTCAGAGAGCTTCCAGGTTGGTGAACAAGAATGAACTCATGTGCTAGGAGGGTGGCGCACCCCAAACTCCACAGGGACAGAAGCTCTCGTGCTCCAGACCCTTCCAGACCTCGCCCTATGTATCTCTTCCTCTGGCTCTTCATTCATATCCTTTAATATTCTCTGTAATAAACCAGTAACCGAGTAGGTAAACTGGATTCTTGAGTCCTGTGAGCCACTCTAGCAAATCAACTGAACTTGAGGAACCTCTGAGTTATAGCTGGTTGTCAGAAGCACAGGTGACAACCTGGACTTGCAATTGGCCTCTGAAGAGGGAGGACAGGGGCAGTCTTGTGGGACTGAGCCCTTAACCTATGGAATCTGACACTATCTCCAGTTAAACTACAGGACACAAGAACAAAATAGTGGCTACCAGTAGGGAGAGGGAAAGAGGGAGGGGCAACACAGGTGTAGGGGATTAAGAGGTACAAACTATTAAGTAAGCTACAGGATATAATGTACATGGGGAATATAGCCAATATTTTATAAGAACTGTAAGAAGAGTAACATTTAAAAATTGTGAATCACTATATTGTACACCTGTAACTTACATAATATTGTACAGCAACTATACTTCAATTAAAAATAAATAAATAAGCAAACTACAGGACACACCCAGTCAGTGTCTGCTGAGAATTGGAGAATTGCTTGGCGGTGTTGAAAAAACACATCTGACCACCTCATTCAAGGTCAATGCTGAAGTCCTTACAAGGATCTAGGTCCCAGGCCATCCGGCACCATCCCCTTACCTCTGACCTCATCTCCACTGCTCTCTCCTCCCCCCACTGCTCCAGCCTCCTGGTGACACCCACACCCACTCTCTTCTGCTTCCTGTCTTGCCTGGAACACTTTGTTCCCTGAGAGGGTTCCCCCTCCAGCCTGCAGGTCTTCCCCCCAAAGTCATCTCCAAGAAGCCTTCCTTGACCACAGTATCTAAAATTACAACCTCCTTCCCCACTCCACACACTATTTCTTCGGCTCTGTTTCCCCCTTAGCACTCACCACCACTTAACTTATTTATTATAGAGTCTGCTTGTCTATCGCTGGTTTCCTGACTAGAACTAAACTTCACAAAGGACACGCTTATGTTGGTTTGTGGACTGCTGCTTCCTCATGGGCTGATTCTTCCCTCATTCCGGGACTGCAGTCAGTACTGAGCCTCTCCCACTCACACCAGACACCTGAGAACCAGCACAGTCTACCCCCCCCCCCCCCCCCCCCCCAGCACCGCAGGTGAAGAGAAACTCACACGCGCATCAGTGGTTCCTTTGTTCACGCAACAAGCACTAACTGAGGCCCTGGCACTGTCAGTCTGGCCGCTGAGCACCGCCAGTGCGTTTTGCTGGAGAAGCTCCCCACCACGGAATGCTCCGGAACCCAGGGCAGGAAGTCATTCCTCTCAGTCAACCACTAGAACAGGTGAGACACTGTGCCCACCGAGCTTACCATCCGCTGCTGCCAATATGTATTTTCACAACCACCAATCAACCAGGTTCTGATCCCTTTTAACAAACGCACCCACTTAATACAGTTGAGCGGGGGCAGCTGGTCTGGCGGCACCATTTCACTGCGTCGGTCCCCACCACTGGGCTTTGGTCCGTTCTTCCCATTCGGGAGCGGCCTCAGTGGGCGGGGCTTGCCTCTCAGCCAGCCCACCGGGCACCACGAGGCCCTTGTCTTAGGGCCTCCACAGCAGCTAACCTAGTGCAGGCCACTTACGGATTTCAAAAGGTTTTTAGAAAGAAAAGTACCTTTTTTTTTTTTTTTTCCCAAGAAACGTCAGCTCTACATTATCCAAATAAAACTGGAGCAGAGGGGGCAAAGAAGGATTATGAGATGGAAAAACTATAGAAAAAGGTCAGTAACAGTTATATTGGCAAACACTTCTGTGGTACTATGTACGCTATATATATGACATTCTTCCAAACACTCAGATTAACTCACTGGATGCTCGCTATGAACTATTAAGGAGGCACTATGCGCCATCATCACCATCGCGGCTGTTTCCCCTTTGAGATAACGAGGCCCAGAGAAGTTAGCTAACTCGCCCAACTCTTGGGGCCTGTAGCGTGTCATTAGGATTCGAACCCAGGCAGTCTGGCTCCAGAGTCCGTGCTTAGTGTACAGTAGTACATTTTAGAAATCAAAACAGCAGCCCTGTGGCCTGGAGCCAAGAGCCCGGGGAGCGGTGGAGCGCGGGAAGGAGCGCGGGGCGCCGTGTTGACCTGAGGGAGGGGCAGGCAGCGCGGGCCGGGGCGCCGCAGCTCGCGCCGGTCACCTGGGGCTGAACTGGAATTGTTCAATAGTGGACTCGAGGTTCTCGATGATCCTCCAGCACTCCTCGGTCTCAGGCGCGTCGGCACAGCTCTCCATCGAAGCCGCGGTGGTGGCAGCTGGGCCAGGCGCCTCCCGCCTAGTCCAGGACCCGGCGTCCGTTGCCATGGCGACTCCCGGAGAACCGGCAGAGCGCCGGAATCGTGGGGGCGCGGGCGCGACGGGCGGCCTGGAGACTGCCCGGGAGTCGACCCGCTGCCGCTTCCACTGCCCGCCTGGCTCACGGCTTCCTGTTCTCGGTGCGCACGGGCCAGGCCGCCGCTGACATGTCCCCAGGGGAGCTGGACTCCTGTAGATAACCCTGCGGCAGCCAACCACGCCCCGAACTCTTCCGCGCCTTCTCCTGTGCTAAAGCTCTGAGCTCAGCCTCCTGCGAGGCCCGCGCACTTGGGGGGAGTGGATGCCTGAACTCCTTTCCTACGTCAGCACCCCTCTCCTCGCGACATTAGATGGAAGCTCGACGGCCCTCGCTTTCCTGACCTTCCTCCCTATGCTAAAGGTCATCTTCCGGGAGGATGAAAAATAGTGCACCCATCTAATAACGATGCCCTTTGCATAATGAGCCTTGGGCTCTCAGAGCAATCCCATAATAAGAGGGAAGCAGGCAGCCTGATGAATTGCCTATACCTGCCAGTTGGCCACAAACGTAGGTGTTCGTGGACAAAAAATTTTTTTGCAGAGATTAATCAGGTTTACATTCCTATTTAATATAAAAGGTCAGAACTAACGCATCGTTTTAAGCTATACCGTGTTGTGTGGAATTCATTTTTACTGCTTCTACAATAATAAGTTCCTTATAGTGAAACTGTTGCTAATCCTTTATTTTAAATTAGGTACCACTCATTGACAATGATAGCAAACATCTATTCTGATATCATCAATATGTCATTGCCTGGTTTTTGAAGTAAGTAATTTCAGTTTAGAACTAAGCATTTCAATCTGTTGTCTACAGGAAAAGAAAATATTTTCTTCTCTCTCATAATAATTATGTAAAAAGAAGTTAGTTTGGTATTGGATGCTCAAAATACAAAGAATAAATCACTGTAAATCACTGTAGCACTATCACTACTCTAATATTTAAAGACAAAGATGAAAAGTCCCAAATGCCAAACAAAATTCATAACCAGTGTCAACACAGTCTTCCATGACTGTGTACATGTACAATAGTACATTTTAGAAATCAAAACAGTAGTACATTTTTCCTTCGGGAAGTTGAAGAAAGGAGAAAAAGAGCTATTTTTACTCTACGGTGGTGGTTATTTTCAAAATCTAACTTCTAAGTCTACATAGGAAAATTTTACTATATAATGAAAAGAGTATTTAAAAAATATATGTATATGTAAGTGTAATATATGTATAAATTAAATTGTCTTAAGTGAATTATTTTACCACAATGCATATGAAATTTTTTAAATGAGTAAAATTCCAAGTTAAAAAGCCTGATCCAGGGCTTCCCTTGTGGCGCAGTGGTTGAGAGTCCGCCTGCCGATGCAGGGCACGCGGGTTCGTGCCCCGGTCTGGAGGATCCCACATGCCGCGGAGCGGCTGGGCCCGTGAGCCATGGCCGCTGAGCCTGCGCGTCCGGAGCCTGTGCTCCGCAACGGGAGAGGCCACGACAGTGAGAGGCCTGCGTGCCGCAAAAAAAAAAAAAAAAAAAAAAAGCCTGATCCATTTTGAACCAGGCCAAGATAGTGAAAAGACTGACAAGCTGTTGGCTGTTTCACTAATGCAATGCTAAATGAATATTTTGAAACTGAGGAGGGAGATCTCACAATAGATTTCATGAGTCATTGGTCGGCTCTGTGCAGTGTTTGTTGACCTATAGGGATTGCGTAGTTACACCATCCCACAAAAACATGTACTGAACAAAACCTCTTTGTTTGCCCATGCTATATAGCATATCAAGGAGCTTCAGATTTCAGTGTCTAGGAGACCAAGTTATGATGATGATTGTTTTTTGAAACTATGAACTACATAACACTTCTTATCAGTTACCTACATTTATCTCTCAGGTGTTCTGCCTTATAAAATTGTTCATTTCACATCATATTCCCGCCTCCAATACTGTCACTGTCAGATAATTTATTATACTAAATGCAGGCCTTTTGTATCACATGTTGAGTTCATTGATGGTTGTTAATGGAAAGCTTGTGAGCTCTGGATTAAACATTAAAAAAAAATAGTAGCTCTGAAACTTGTTTTAGTACATGGGCAAGGTTTTTGTTTTTGTTTTAACATCTCTGAGCCTCTCTTTTCTCACCAGTATAAACTAGATAATCAACCTGTCTCGGGGTGGTTGGAGATAATCCATAAAGGAAGAAAAGCAGGCAACACATAAAGCGCACTGCAAGTCGAATGCTAACCAGGCCTTCAAAGAGTGTGTTCCTTCCTTCTAAACCACAGCCGAGGAAGGTACTATTTTAAGTTTTCCATTTTAAAAATGTTGGATATTTCATAAGCGAAAATAATTTTTACTTGCTAAATTAATAGGACTAAGGCCCCAATTTTAAATTTTCAAGTGCTTCTCTGAAACATGTATAAATATAATGTGTCCTTATATGAAAATATCACCTACCAATTATTAAAAGTGTGAACATCTCAGATGAAATAGCATGAGGATTTCATTGAGTCAAGTGCTGGCTCTAAACATAGAAATTTATATATTGCAATTGGATATTATCTGTTCTAGAGTCTAGCAAAAGTAAAAGCCAGAGAGTTTCAGTGTAGGTTTGTAATTTAAATTCTTTCTAGAGCATCATCCTGCATGAAGTGCTTATTTTTCTCTTATTATCAGCTGTAATCTAAGATTATGTGGTACAGGCTCTGTTATGTAAACTTGTTTTATGTCGTGCTTCATCCAGAACCAAAGTTCTTTTTTTGTTTGTTTGTTTGTTTGTTTTTTGCCATACGTGGGCCTCTCACTGTTGTGGCCTCTCCCGTTGCAGAGCACAGGCTCCGGACGCAAGGCTCAGCAGCCATGGCTCATGGGCCCAGCTTCTCCGCGGCATGTGGGATCTTCCCGGACCGGGGCACAAACCCGTGTCCCCTGCATCAGCAGACGGACTCTCAACCACTGTGCCACCAGGGAAGCCCAGAACCAAAGTTCTTAAATAAAGAGTTGTAACAAGAAATAGCAAGGCTCTTAGCCAGAACAATATTATGCTACTAAATCCTTCATGGAAAAACTCCTGAGACTAGAACTTTTTTTTTTTTTTTTGGTGGTACGCAGGCCTCTCACTGCTGTGGCCTCTCCCCTTGCGGAGCACAGGCTCCGGACGCACAGGCTCAGCAGCCATGGCTCGCGGGCCCAGCTGCTCCGCGGCATGTGGGATCTTCCCGGACCGGGGCACAAACCCGTGTCCCCTGCATCAGCAGGCAGACTCTCAACCACTGCGCCACCAGGGAAGCCCGAGACTAGATCATTTTAATGTCTTAAATTTTGCTGCCATGAGGTAACATGTCCACTTTTATAAAAATCCATCAGTAAGTGTTTGTTGTCTGGCTAAAGCTGAAAACCAAGATGAGAAGCTTGATCGAGAGTTTGGACAGGAGTCATTTTGATATGGAACTTAGATCTTACTGCCAAATGCCCTTGACTGCTGTAGTAAAGGGTATCCTCTATTTAAATCTAAGTTTACAAGGGAAATCAATAAAAATGTGAAAAAAATGTTAGAGGTTAGCTATCTGCAGAAGTCAGTCTATCTGAGATGGGGATTCCCTGGCGGTCCAGTGGTTAGGACTCCCCACTTCCACTGCAGAGGGTACGGGTTCCATCCCTGGTCAGGGAACTAAGATTCCCCCAAGCCAGATGGCACGGGCAAAAAAAAAAAAGTGAGTCCAGGGGCTTCCCTGGTGGCTCAGTGGTTAAGAATCCACCTGCCAGTGCAGGGGACACGGGTTCGATCCCTGGTCCGGGAAGATCCCACATGCCACGGAGCAGCTAAGCCCGTGCACCACAACTACTGAGCCTGCGCTCTAGAGCCCGCAAGCCACAACTACTGAGCCCGCATGCCACAACTACTGAAGCCCGGGCGCCTAGAGCCCGTGCTCTGCAGCAAGAGAAGTCACCGCAATGAGAAGCCCGGCACCGCAACGAAACCAAATGCAGTCAAAAATAAATTAAAAAAAAAAAAAAAAGAAGTGAGTTCATTTGAGAGAAGATTTATGAACCTGGGGCTGAAGGGAATTTGGGAAATCTCCAAGTCTGGTCATGTGACCAGAGTGGATCTTCATGCCTGGGACATAGGGCATCTGTAACACGTCCACTGTAATATATGATGAGGTCGTTCAGGAAAGGTAGAAGTCTGAATGGAGAGCAATAAAAAGGCAGTTACCATATTTCATGCAATCTATCCAAAGGTGTTAAAAATGTGAATCTTAGAATCAGTGAAAGAAGGTATAGTAAGAATTTATCAGACAGAGATCTGTTCAGGGTGCTCCATTTCATCACATCATAGAGGGATCTAGTCTCATGAGATGTGGAACACTCATCAGGCTTTTCCATAACTTGGATAAAGTACCCGCATAGTACCATCTAGTTCTCTGTTCTTTCTCCAGTGTCACAAGGCAGCTTGCCAATAACTAATCCAGACTCACAGGTACATAGATTTCCAAGAAAGACTTGGTGTAAACAGCAAACATGTGATTTTGGTTAGTGTGAGTATTCCTCTGTAGCCTGACCTAACGAACTGATAAAATACAGGATTTAGACCCGCCTTCACGAGGGCTAGACTCAGAGACAACAAACCTGCAAGTCAGCCTTTGCCTGGGCAGTCAGCCCAACTCATTAACATCCTGTAACTGCAATTTTAGGCATCCATCATTGTCCTTCAGCTTCAAACCCTATCTTGGAAAAGTGGTAGAAAAAAAATACAAATTTAGCAATTTCGAGAACTAGCAAAGAACAGGGACATAGGAGAATACAGTAGCATGAAACCCAGGTTGTTATTGTTATAATATATGTTTATTTACCTGGAAACACTCTAGGGTACACTGAGAGGTATTATGTACATGTGACATGTGTTATGCTATAACCAAGCATGTAACCAAGGTGCTGATCAGGGGCACACAGTCCAGGGATGGCCCACCCACCGTGGCTTATCAGGACGCCCACACGACAGAAGGGACTACTTCAAGCTCTGCTGTAAACTGTTCTAAAGCAACAAGCCACACTGTGCCAGTTAATACATGGCATGTCAGCAGTGGGTTTTTATTGAACGTACTGGTCTATTGACTATCATGGTAGATGTTAGAAGCAGGCTTGAACTGGTGAATTTTAAGATCTTCAGGCTATGTAAATCAGCTAACGTAGTTCGTAAATCCTCCCACCCTTGCAGGAACCGTATGCAAGAACCTCAGGAAGGCTGTAACTTAAACCCTGAGGGATGGGGCTTGACCCCTTGCCTTCTGTCCAGCCTTTGCTGTATAGTTGCCTGACGCCCACTGAAAGGGCCTAGGAGCTTGCTTCTGGAAAGTTATCACATCTGCTTCAAGGGAACCATCCGCACCTGGCAGTAGTCAGAACACCTGAAAGAACAAACTTTGTGGACCTCTCTGAACAGGCTGCATAAACTGTTTGGGCCCTGCTTGCTAATGAGTGTTTTTTAATTTCTCTTTTGTTTGTTTGTTTTTGTTTTTGATTTTGAATGTTTTTTTAAATAAATGTCTGAGACTTGCTTTCATTATAAGCTGAGAGCAAGGGGAAATAGCTAACCTTGACCTTCATCAAACTCCTTTAAAGGATACAGCATTTATCTAAAGAAACCTAAGAATTGCATGTGACCAAATTAGGTCAGTTTTTTGGGAAGCCAGAGAAATCATAAAAACTTCCTTAATATGACTGATTTTGATGTATAAAATCTGTTTCTTATTCATCCTTGTATCCCCAGGACAACCCATGCCATCCACATAGTAGGTGCTCATTAAGTATTTATCAAGTGAATCAATGACTAACTCCGAATAAGTTCTTTAAAAAGGCCATTCCTAAAGAGTTGTGTACCTAGTAGTTGACACCAAGAGAACTAGGCAGGCAAATCCTGTTGGCTGCTTTCTAAAGGGTAGGCTGAGAGATTAATCCAAGATGCCAGTGCCTGATGGTTTCAGGAATTCATGTGCAACCAAGGGAGAAACAAGATGTTTCAGGCTAGAGAGATCTTCATGTTTGCTGCCTCCTTCATGAAAAAGGAAACCCCTTCTTTCTTCAATGTATAAGTGAGGAGAGGGAGAAGGTTGCAAATGAGAACTTCCCATCGGGAAATTCTAGGGCTAGATTCAAGCCACCAGTTGAAGAGACTGGCCCAGTAAGGAGACATGATATGTGTCTCTGATTGTTAGTTGTTGGTTTTTTTTTTTTTTTCTTTTGCGGTACGCAGGCCTCTCACTGTTGTGGCCTCTCCCGTTGTGGAGCACAGGCTCCAGACGCGCAGGCTCAGGGGCCATGGCTCACGGGCCCAGCTGCTCCGCGGCATGTGGGATCTTCCCGGACCGGGGCACGAACCTGTGTCCCCTGCATCGGCAGGTGGACTCTCAACCACTGCGCCACCAGGGAAGCCCTGTGATTGTTAGTTTTATGTGTCAGTTTGGCTGGGCCATGGTGCCCAGATCTGTGGTCAGACATTATTCCAGATATTTCTGTTGGGGGGGGGTGGTTTGGATGAGATTAACATTTAAATCGGTGGATTCTGAATAAAGCCTATTATCCTCTGTAATGTGGGTGGGCCTCACCCAATCAGTCGAAGGCCCAGCTAGAACAAAAGACTGTCCTCTACCTGAACAAGAGGGAATTCTGCAGCAGATGATCTTTGGACTTGAACTCGGACATTGGCTCTTTCTTGAGTCTTCAGCCTGATGATCTTCAAATCAGAACAGTAGCATCAGCTCTCCTCTGGGTCGATAGCCTGCTTGTCCACATTGCAGATTTTGGATTTGCCAGTCTCCATAATCACATGAGTCAATTTCCTAAAATAAATCTATCTATATACTATATTATATACAATCATCCTGTTGGTTCTATTTCTCTGGAGAACCCTAACAGAGTGACCAATGAAAAATTAACAGATTAATCAGAGGATACCATTATACTCTTTGTAGCACTTAATGTTGATAATTGTAAATATGATGGTTAATTTAATATCAACTTGACTGGGCTAAGGGATGCCCAGAGAGCTGGTAAAGCATTGTTTCTGGGTGTGTCTGTGAGGGTGCCTCCAGAAGAGATTAGCACTTGAATGGGTAGACTGAGTAAAGATTCCCCTCGCCAAGGTGGGCAGGCCTTATCCAAACAGTTGAGGAACTGTCTAGAACAAGCAGGTGGAGGAAGGGCGAATTTGCTCTCTGCTTGAGCTTGGACATCTATCTTCTCTTGTCCTCAGACATGGATGCTCTTGGCTCTTAGGCCCCCGGACTTAGGCTGGCACTTAACTCCATCGGCTTGCAGTTCTCGGGCCTCCAGGTTTGGTACAGAACTATATCACCAGCCTTCTTGGTCCTCCAGTTTGATCCTCCTCAATCTACAGTGGATTGTGGGACTTCTCAGCTTCCATAGTCATATGAGCCAATCCTTCATAATAAATCTTTCTCTATATCACTTATATCCCATTGTTTCTGTTTCTCTGGAGAACCCTGACCAATACAGTAAGTATACTAAAAGGACCGAGAAAAATAATTATTACAAGTCTAACATTTATTGAGTGCTGACAATGCCAGGAACTTTTCTAAGCACTCAACACACTACTCATTTAGCTGATTACTCACAATTTAAAAAGGAGAAATGGAGACACCAAGAGGTGGATTTACTTGCCCAAGTTCACAGAGCTTGCAAGGGTAAGCTCTGTGCACTTGGGCTCTGAGCACTGACAGTCTCACTCCAGAGCCTACACACTTAATTGTTATGCTATATTGCTTCACCAAATTGTCATGAGAAACAAATTATTTAGTTCTTCCCATGTTGTGAGTTTTGGCAAATGGCCTGAGAATTCTCTCTAAAGCTGTCAGGCCCATATCAGCAACTTAATTATGAATCTATGTTGCTAGGGCTGCTGTAGAGAATCAAACACATTAGCACACCGTCTACCAGACCCCAGTTACTGGGAAAATTCACCTTTGTGCAATATTAGTGAGAATAAGAAATGAAGCAAAAAGATGTGTATCGTTAGAAGCTACAAAGTTCATGTTGAGGACCTATTTGCTTTACTCCTAGGAAAGCTTCTTAACCTCTTACTCAGACCCTATATATCCTAACCATCATGTACAATTCTTACAGTCTGATATCTGCTTTCTACCTCTACAGCCAATAAAAGTTGGGGGACGAGCTGCTGCAAATGATCAGGACATTGACAGCAATGAAAGGTAACGGCTGGCACAAAAGAGACTGTAAAAAATTCATAACAAAAATTCAGATCACATGGGAGTCTTAGGCCACTGTGAGTAACAAGGAGACTTATACTCGTCACTGGCCCTGAGGCCATCACTGTAAAATAACTAAGGTTCATAATAATGACCACGAGTCACTGATTCTCCTTAATGCAACTATTTTAACACACTCTCTTTAAAAGGCTGGTGTGTGTATAAAACAGTTAAAAAAAATATTGTCTCAATTCTACAAGTTATTCTAGCTTGATTCATTCTCTGAGATGATTTTCTATAAGCTGAAATTTCATTTTATTCCTTAAATGATAGGTAACATTTCTCTGTCACTGGCATGGGATTGCTTTGCCGTGTTGAAATGTCAGAGATTTCAGAGCTGAAGGGACCTTAGAGCTGGTATACGTTAGTCCACTCAGTCAAGGACATACAGGTAGTTAGGCCACAGCTACATCCAGGATTTCTTTATCCGTTGGTCTGTCACAGTGTATTAGACTGTTGTATGCTACAGCAACAACCAATCCTAAATCTCAGTGACTCAATACAACAAAAGTTAATTCCTTATTCACACTACAAGTCCCACAGGGTTGGCAGGAAGTTCTGCTGCACACAGCCACTTAGGGATCCAGCTGATAGAAGCTCTGTCTACCTGGAACACAAGGCCTCTTGAGTCACTTTACCAAGAAAAGGAAGGAGAAAGTGTCAGGCACCAGTTATTAAATACTTTGGCCCCTTCCACCCACTCCATTGATCAGAGAGAGTCACGGGGCTCCACCAATTGCAAAGGCAACTGAAAAGTCTTTTCTTCCAAGTGCTCAGGAGGTAGAGGGGAGCTGATGCTGGGGAGCAGTAGTAATATCTACCAGGATTCCTTCCATCCCATCACCCTTCTTAAGTAACTTTGCAAACAAGGTAGTGATGGAGATAATAACAATGATGAAGATGATGATGGTGATGATGGTAACATCTGATGTTTGCACAGGTCCTGAAGGTCCAGAAAATGCTTCTCTCATTTACCTTATTATTATTATTCTTTTTTTTTTAAAAAAAGCAAGCTTTGGCCAGTTTTATTAAAGAAAAATTATGCATGATTTACTTTTCACCAGTCTGTTCTGGCATGCTTCTAATGATAACAGCATCACCTGGATCAATGATAGCCAGTGTGCGTACTCTGTGGTATTTTCTACATGCTGTGCCCAATTCAATATTATTGCTAGTGTGGTGATGGACACCAGTGTTGGCCAACATGGCATAATACTCTATTTCAGATTTCCTCAAGGCTGGGCAGTCGCTGGCAAGGCTGACCAGTTTCACTTTGCCTTGTCTGATCATTTTCAGAGTCTGCTTGTACCCCAGTGCATACTTTCCACTTTTCATAACGAGTTGGAACCTAGAGTTGAGCAACTCCAGTGACTTTTTCGAGGAGCTGCCAAGATGGCTGCGGAGCAAGAAAGCTCTCATTTACATTACTTTTTTTTTTTGGAAGATTTATTATTTACTTATTTATTTATTTAATTTATTTTTGGCTGCGTTGGTTCTTAGCTGCGGCTTGCCAGATCTTCGTTGAGGCACGCAGGATCTTTCGCTGCAGCGCACCAGCTTCTCTCTAGTTGTGGCGCGTGTGTTCCAGAGTGCGTGGGTTCTGTAGTTTGTGGCACCGTGGGCTCTCTAAGTTGAGGTGCCCAAGCTCAGTGGTTGTGTCACCCGGGCTTAGTTGCCCTGCAGCCTCTGGGACCTTAGTTCCCCAACCAGGGATCAAACCTGCGTCTCCTGCCTTGGAAGGCAGATTCTTTACCACTGGACCACCAGGGAAGTCCCTCATTTACATTATTAATTCAACGGTGTGCAATAACATTCCTTTTTCATATGAGAGAATTGAGCTCAGAGAATGTTCAACTGAATGGAGTGATTGGCTTAGGATCACATCAATGAGTATCTAGGAGATGAAATACTGAACGTTTAGTCACAGCTGAAGAGGAGGCCCTGAGGGGAAAGTGGGATAGGAGTTTAACCCAGGAAACGGCCCGACGTGAGAAACCCAGTCCCAGAATTCACTGCAAAGGAGCTTTGAAGCATAAGGGCTGAAAGAAATAAAGACAATAGTGGAGCTCGTTTCTAGTTGTGACTCCTTTAGTTCTGACCACATACACCTTTTCTTTCACAACAAAACATGCCTGGCCTATAAGCAGAGACACTTAATATTTATCACACTAATAAGAAAGAAAGTAAAAAACTGCACGTCCCGAATAGCATGTATTAGGTGTTACGTAAGAACACTATTAGATTTGAAATATCACATCTGGCCTGGAAATTTAAGGCAACTCATTGCCTTCAGCTCATTGAATCTAGATGTGACAAAACAAATTACAGTTGTGAAATAAATTGATCCCGCTTGAACTATGGGAGAATTTAACAATCAGGATTTTAGAAGCAAAGGTAGCCAAATGAGAACAGCAGACCCAACCCCACAATAAATATTTAGCTGTACTTTTAGCATTAAGTTTGGCACAGAATACAGAGGAGACGTCTGGTCTTCTGGAAACTTACACATTGATGAAGAAGACAGAACTAATGCATGTAAAATGATACACATTTCTGTAAAACAGTCTACAACAAACTGCTGTTTTGTACAGTGAAAACTCCAAATGATGTAGGAAATGTGAAGAAGACAAAATGCTAAGAAAGAAAGGGAAAAAATGGAAGGAGGAAGACTCAGTGAACTTTTCATAGAAAAGCTTGATGTGGACCCAGGAATGGAAGCTGAATACAGCCTGGATAGGTGGAGAGGAAAAGAGAATCAGTTCTGGAAACAGCATGAACAAAGGCTCCAGATACACGGTGTTCCTGAGAAAGTGCCTGGCCCTGGCTATGGCACACCGACTTGCGTTGTTCTTAGTTGTGTTTGTGTATCTCTGTCTCATAGTTTACGATCATCTCCAGGAATAGGGCCTTATTTATCTTTGTGTAAGTGGCGTAGACATTGCATGTGGCACATAGAAGGTGCTCAAAACTCTTTCACTGGGGGGCTTCCCTGGTGGCACAGTGGCTGGGAGTCCACCTGACAGGGAAGGGGACATGGGTTCGAGCGCTGGTCCGGGAGGATCCCACATGCTGTGGAGCAACTGGGCCTGTGCACCACAACTGCTGAGCCCTCATGCCACAACTACTGAAGCCTGCACGCCTGGACCCGTGCTCCACAACAAGAGAGACCACCGAGGTGAGAGGCCCATGCACAGCAATGAAGACCCAATGCAACCAAAAATAAATAAATAAAAATTTATTAAAAATAAAAAGAAACCGCATGGTAATGTATGGAAACTAAATTTAAAAACAAAAACAAAACTCTTTCATTGGGGATTCCCTTGTGGTCTAGTGGTTAGGATTCCAGGCTTTCACTGCCGGGGCCCCAGGTTCTATCCCTGGTCAGGAAACTAAGATCCCGCAAACTGCAGGGCCAAAACAATAAAAAATAAAAAAAATAAAAAGAACCTGGAAGAATGGGTAGGATTTTAAAAGAAAGAAGAAGAACTAACCTTCAATAATACCAACAGCAACATCTGGGAGTTTATCTAAACTTCACAAGAGTTGTGAGGAGTATCACCTCAAAGACAGGGAAACAGATGATGATGCCTTCTCAGATGTAGTGGTTATGGACATTTCTGCTGCATTGCTAATGAAATGTTAGTTTAACAAACTTTTATTTACGTCTCAGTTTTCTGAGACAGAATCTATATTTTATTGGCCTTTGGGCAGATCAGTAGAGGAAGGACTGAACGGGTAATTTACCTCCTCAGTCAGGAAATCATTCTGACTAAATGGGCTTCTTAATAAAGTGCAGCATCTTAGCCAACCTCTACTTCCTCTCCTTTGGCACAAAGGAAATGTTCAGCTCTTTTGTTTTCAAAAACCTCAAGGTGTATCAGTTAACCAGCTGTCCTGGATGTGGCTTTGCTGGTTTGTGTACCTCTACTGAATGAATTAGAAAAGAAAAGAAAAGAAAGAGAGAGAGAGAGAGAGAGGAAGGAAAGGAAGGAAGGAAGGAAAAGAAAGAGAGAAAGAAAGAAGGAAGGAAGGAAAGAAAGAAGGAAAGAAAGAAAGAAAGGAAAGAAAGAAAGAAAGAAAGGAAGGAAGAAGGAAGGAAGGAAGGAAGGAAGAAAGAAAGAAAGAAAGAGGGAGAGAGGGAGGGAGGAAGGAAGGAAGGAAGGAAGGGAGGAAGGGAAAGCAAAAAAAGGCCAGGCATGGAGAGAAGTGATTATAGTAAAAAGATCCAAAGCACCAGTGGGTGAATTTCAGCCTTGTTTAGAAACTCTAGTGATAGTAGAGGCCACTCAACACCTACTTGATTTTTTTTTTTCTTAAAAAAGAACTCCTTTGCTTTAGGAATCAAAACATCTAATCATTTTCACCAACACTGTGCTCTGTGGATGTCTCTCAATGCATTTTCTCACAAAGATTTAGTAACAAAAGTTCCAGTTAGGTGTCATGTTCTCAAGACTTTCCTCTTAGACAACATTGAGTCAGGTGGTCTAAGTGCTCAACCTACCACCTGGGCATCAACAAAACATCTGAGCGACATGCATGGATCCTTCAGTCGACCTCAGCCCCAGACGTTTAAAAAAACACATTTCCCTTGCAAAGTCCCAGGAAAGCAAGTACATGGGCTGATCTGTGGATGCATAGAAGATTATATTCAATTTTTATTTGGTTCAATGAATCAGAGGTGCATTTAGATGGTGATGTTGTATATTTTGGGTGGTGCTGCCTCTCCCCTGGAGCCTGCCAGGACCATGCAGCAGGCGGCACCCCAGCAAACCAGCCAAAGACAGAGCAGGGAAACTTCAGGGCTGACTTATCTCCATTACCCTGGAATTTAAAACCACCACCACTATGCTGTGTAAAATGACCTCCCAGGATATTTTGCTGCTTTCTCCAGCCCTGGGCTTGTACGAAGCTTTAATAAATACCTGCTTTGAATTTTATCTGCTCAGGTCTTTTTAATGGAATTATTTATTTCTCAATCATCTCTATAACTTCTCTTTGACTTCAATCCTCAGCTGTTGGAAATAGCACTTCTAAAAAAGCCTTCCCTGACCGCGCTGGCAGAAACTTGTCTCTATCCTCCATTTCCCTCTTCTGCTTTATTTTTTGTCATAGCACTTATCACCACCTGACATAATATATATTCATTTGTTGATTATTTATCTCATGTGCAAGCACACACATGTGCACACACACACTAATATAAGCTACATGAGAGAAGTGAATTGTTTCATCTGTACCTTATTCCAAATGCCTAGAAAAATAGATGGACAATAAATTTTTTACAGGATAAAAAGTTCATTGAATCTGCCTCTCTATTCACTGATTCATCCATTTAAATACATAGCTTGTATACAGGTTAGGATCATGGGCTCAGGACACAGACTGCTTGAATCCCAATTCCTCCACTTAAAAGCTGTGTGGCCTTTGGGCAATCACATAACCTCTCTGTGCCTCAGTTTTTTTGCTCATTAGTGTAACAGATATAATAACAATATATATATCACAAGTTTTTATGAGTATTAAATGAGACATTAGACAGAAAGCACTAAGAGCAATGTCTGACCCATAAATAGCACATAAGCACAATGCCTATAAAATCTCATGTGCTCAATAAATGTTAACAATCATTACTCATTTACTCAGCAAATATTTTTTTTTAGTTTTTAAAAATTTATTTATTTATTTATTTATTTATTTATGGCTGTGTTGGGTCTCCGTTGCCGCAAGCGGGCTTTCTCTAGTTGTGGCGAGCAGGGGCTACTCTTCGTTGTGGTGTGCGGGCTTCTCATTGCGGTGGCTTCTCTTGTTGCCGAGCATGGGCTCTAGGCACACGGGCTTCAGTAGTTGTGGCATGCGGGCTCGGTAGTTGTGGCTCATGGGCTTAGTTGCTCCGCGGTACGTGGGATCTTCCCAGACCAGGGCTCGAACCCGTGTTCCTGCATGGGCAGGCGGGTTCTTAACCACTGCGCCACCAGGGAAGTCCCAGCAAATATTTACTGAATGTTTACCACAGGCCAGGTGCTATACTAGGTGCTGGGAATACAATGGTGAACAAAACCAAAAATGGACCCCGCCCTTATAGAGCTTATAATACAGTGGGAGAGACAGTTATTAATCCAAGTAACCACACACATGAATGCAGAATTAAAACTGCCTTAAATGTTAAGAAGAGCTTGGGTGAGAGTATATTAATAGGGTCATTTGATCTGGTCAGAGACGGAAGAGAAAAATTTCTGGGGAAGTTATGTATGGTGGGGTGAAAATGGATGTAACATCCAGTTTCAAGCTGTTTTGTGTTCTGTGCTATTCTGTCACCCGCTCTTTTTCTTCAAAGAGTCAGCAAGGTAAGAATGAGTGAATAGCCTTTAGTTAATAGTGATTGTGCCTTGAAGGAGA